TAAGAACAATATAAAGGGCGACACATACAGACGGGAGAATGAGTCTGGAAGAACAGAAGCTGGGATGGGCCAATCGAGAGAGCATCATCATAACTTGTGACAAGCATTTGTTATCATCCTCTACACTTAATAAACTAAATGATTCATTGATTACCTTTCCACAAGGTGACAGCCAGCAGCTGGTGAAGTTTTGGGTGGCCCAACTTGCCGGATCCTCCTGTGGACCATTTTAAGGCTCTGGACACAAATGCTACTCTCTCTGGGGAGTTCTGGTCCATCGGGCTGAACAGCTTAGCCAGGTTTTCTTCTCACACACACACACACACACACACACACACACACACACAGAGAGAGAGAGTTGTACAACATCAAAGAATGTTCCTCTAATCTGAAATGTCCTGTTATATCGTCCTCTCGAAAGGTGGACTTCTCTGAACGTCATGACAATGCATTCTTCTTGTAAATTAATACTTCCATAAAAAGAAACAAATGTCCTTATTTGTGTTTGTGTTTTGAAATGATGTGAACGAGTGGCAACAGAAGGACAACATTACCTGCAACTACCCACTCTTAAACACCACCAGTGCTAGTTTAGCACAGGTGGTCCTGCGGGTGAACTGAAGGCCGCCACTCACCTAATATTTCCTCGTCAACTTTTGCCTCCGATTTCTCCAACACCTCCAGAACCAGCATGGCCAGGTCTGCTGCACTGTTTTGCTGGAGATGAAAACACAACCCACCATTTTTTATTATTTATTTTTTATTCCATATTATCACAAGAATGTATGATTTTACCTAACACCTTGAGGGGCCGGGAGCAGATGCTTAATCAGTCTATATCCATATCTCATTAATTCATCACCCGACTGGCACACTGACATCTAATTTGTCTCTCTTGGCTTAGAGTTGTGTGGATGGACGATCGGGGCTAGAAATCTGATGATGCGTTCATATGTGCAGAATTATAACTTGTTTCAAAATACCATTTATATGCACTTTGACCAGTAATAATTTGGACTTTCTGCACACAAAGATGGACTCCATACAGCGGTTTTGTTCTGACGCGAGCGGTTTCGCTTGTAAGTGACACGCTTAAAAACACCACTCTCACAATTACACACACACGGACAATAAATACACCCAACAATGCTACTTTGAAACTTCATCATTTCCCTATTTGGGGGCGTTTCCATGAACACCGAACACCAAACAGAGACAAATCTCGTGGAGCATGTACCTGGTTATAGCTGAAGAAGAGCAGAGCGCCGTTGTACATCAGCTCCCTGGCTTCAGCATGTTTTGCCTGTGACATGTACCTGATGGAGGACAGAGTGTCAGCACATGAGATATCCTTATCCACACAAACACAAGTTCTGTTTGCATTACCCAAAACCAGTTCTGCAAGATAAGATACAGTACATGCACACCGGGTTTGTTTGAGATGCAGGACAAGGCACAGATGTTAGGACAGCTGCAGTAGTTTCGAGACTTGCCATGTTGCATGTATGTGAGGATTTCAGGAGTTAATATTGCCTCAGAGAGCAAGCCGGTGACGAAGAAGCAGGAGGGTATCAAACTCACTCTTCTCATGTGGGAAAGGCTTGGCTTTAACTGGACTGGATTCAGAACAAATCACACTTAAAACCTGCTTGCAAACTATGCTTGAGGCACACAGCAAGCCGGGTTGGCAGCACAACTAAGCTGTACCAAACAGCGTCCAGGTTTCCATACTGTAGTGGACGAGGTGGCCCTGTACACCAGTGTGTGAGTGTGACTTCATGAAATAGACACTGGACAACAGACCAGAACTCATTCTGACTACACTTATCCCAGATTCTGTACGCTTTACTAGTGGTGGTGTAAACATAACCAGCTATAAATCAAGACTAAATACACATCCAGCCATCATAGTTAAGACTGCGGCGATGCGGTATCTAACGTTAGCTATCTGGCTCAATGCTAACACAGCTGGACAGCGGTTAACAAAGCAGTTAGCCGTTATAGGTCCGTTCATTTATAAACTAATAATCTTTACTAATGACGCACAACCACAGGCTGTCTAGCTGTCTTGCATTAGCAGCGGAGCTAACTCCGCTTCGCCTATCACCAGTTGTGTTGCTAAACAAGTAGCTAGTTAACTAGCCGTAGTTAGCATTCCCATTTTGTGACTGTAGAAGATTGACACAGCAGCTGTCCACACAAACAGACGGACGGGCGTGAGTGGGCGGGTCCGCGGAGAACTCCAGCCAATCACAACCGTCCAGGCGCAGAAGCAAGGTTGACAGTAGAATGATCTGGAACAGGCAGGCCCCAAAGCCAAATGACAATTACAACTGCACCTACGAACATGAAACCGAGTCTTACCTAAAAAATAAAGTCCTGTACATCTGGTGTGCTTCATAGTAATCCCCTTTTTCTACACTGGCTCGCAGTTTTCCTTCGACCCGCTGTACGCCTCCACGGTTTCTGGCACTGGAGCACCTCAGAGACTCCTGCTCCGACATCGTCGTTGCTCCGCAGCAGCGCTCGAGCCAAGTGTTGACAGTGGGAAACCGGAAAGCTTTTAACAAAACAGACCCTCTTCGCTTGCCGTAGCCGGTATGTTTTGGTTATATGGTTGAGAACACGGGTGAAGTTTATGAAACCTTGTGACCGACTGAGCGCCCTGAAAGCAGCGTGGTAAATAAATGTACTAGGTGGGTTGTGAAATATAGCGGTCAGGGTCACGTGGTTTCATGGAGTTTTTTCCATTGAAGCCCATTATTCACAACCTACCTATTCTTTATTATAGGGGAAACATTGCTCAGTGAAAACAACACAGGTACCTGCATTGTAGGAGATGGTGTGTCCCAACAGCAAACACACACCGTGTACCCAGTGCATACGACTCTTAAGTCATATTTTATGAAGAAAATTCAACGTTTCTCCTCATTAAAAAAGGGTGATTTAGAAATATGTTCAGAAATATTAAGGATTCAAAAAAAAATTTTTAAATTTGTCGAAAAATTATGAATACTAGTGTCAATAATCTAATTATTTAATACTAAATCACCCCATTGATTTAATATTGCACTTTCATGGAGCTGAGGCATCCACAAGATACCTTTTAAACTGACTTTTTATCAAGCTCCAAAAAATCTGCATCTTCTCTGTTATATTTATAGAAATATATACACATATATGTATATA